CTTTTCACTATGTTTGATGCAACAGTATTCTCATTATATGAAATAATAATGTTTTTCACACTAAATTTATAATTGTCACTGTATAATGTAATAAAACTATATGACAATACTTCTCAATATGTAACGCAACAGTGCAGTCTGTGAAACATATCACATGAATTTTCTTCGAAAAGGTGAGCATTCCTTTGTTACCTATATTCTTGTGAAAGTTTCAATTTATCATAGGTTTGTCCTCCCTGGGTAGTTCTGAACTTTCCCACAGAAGGTGTCGCTAAAGAATTCTTCAGACATTGTACTAATGTGTTATCTAATAGTCTCTGTCGTGTAGACGATTAGAAAACCCTGAATCCTCCGTCTCCCCTTTTTTCCAATTGGATAGCCAAGTGACGAGAATAAGAAAATGTATTCTGAAAAACTGACCCTGTATATAGCAGTTGATTCTCTTAGGCTATTCAGATATAGAAATAATTTCGCCTGGCATAGACATCTGTCCACACTCTTTCATCTCGTGCACATATTTGATTATGTTATGTTTGTTTGTCTTGTGTTCTGAATGAATAAAATTATTTTAATCTGCAAACTCGTGTTCAGTCTTTTTCCTCAATTAAGTCACTTCAGAATTTAGTCTACTGTTATTTTGTGGAATGTATAGTCACAGTTAGTACAACTCTTATCTGTATAAAATCATGCACCTGGGAAAATCGCAGTAGCGTTTTTCACTGTATAATGTAACACTACTTCTTACTATATTTTTTGTGTAACAGCACTTATCACTAAGTACTCTAAGAATACTTTTCTTTATGTAACGTAAGAGTACTTTAACTAACAATGTAATCAGTGGAGTTGAAGGATATGAATTCATGATTTTAATGAAATTTTAACTGGTGAAAAAATTCTCTATCCACTATAAAAGTTTGGAGGAAGCTGATTCATTTGGTAGCATTGATTGTTAGCCGCAAATGTAAGAAATTTGTGAATTGCTGTACCATTTATAGATTATAAATAGTGGAAGGTGTACTCCAGACCAGGAGTTTACAATTATCGCTTAGAAAATATTAAAACAAAGCAATAGTTAGAATGAAAAGTAATGCTAAAAGACGAGTAATTTAAACCTATAAACCCCCAGTAGGTGAGCGGTAAGTATAAGGATTTACAACTGTAAAATCCGGGGTTCGATTTCATATGGTGGACAGTGCGCATATAGTCTATTGTGTACATTTGAGTTCAAACAAATCAACAATTTTAGACTCTGGCTCTTGCAAACTGTAAATACATGTTAGAGGTACTTGGTCCCAAGCTTATAATTCTGGTTCTGCATGTCTGCTTTATTCTTAACAATAAGCACTGGTAGAATAAAATAAGTCAATAGCAGAGTAATTTCCCATCAGCACATAGCTTAAAAATGCTCTGGTCTGAAAGACTCTGAAGCAAGATTTTCCTGTTGGCCTCTATATCTTTTAGCCATCTCCCTCAATTGCATAAATCCAATAATTTCATTTCCTTTCAGGATGTGTGCTCCAGAAAAAGCAACATAATAATAAAAATCAGGTAATTTGGTAGTTATTAAAATAGGATAATAACAGAAAATTTCCTAATCTCAGAGCGAAGCTTGGATAATTTTAAGACGTTTGGCAAATTTACGTTATTAAAACTTTTTCTAGATATTTCAGCCATCAGAGAGCATCAGCAAGAATATATTTCATCCTAAAGGACATGTTTATATCTCAAACTAATCTGCTTGACGCTTTATAACATTAGCATCCGTGTTTCTTTTCCGGCGGTGTTGGAAGTCGAAGTCTATCTGTATTGGTATTTGATCGCGGTGTTGTTAGTCGCAACATAGGAGGGTCAGATGCAATTTAGACTTCTTCCCGCACTGGTAACTGCGCAGACAGCCCATTTTGTATTTTGTGATTAACAGTTTTGGTTCTAAAAACAAACACACGAAAAGAAAAAACGAAGACTACGAAAATATAACGAACGTGCAATGCATTCACTCACTGGTTTATTGAAACTGAAATTAGTGATAGATAAAGAATAACATTTGTTAACACTACATTTACTTTAGCGATTTTTATTTCGCAAGGACAGTAGAAAATATCTAACTAGGAATAGTTATCTTATTAAAATGTTAAACTTCTAAAATTTTGTGAGCAGTAGAGACGCAGAAAAATATGAGATGTGACTCAGGTACGAGAAATATAATTCTGGGTAAACGTTAGTACTGTGAAACTGGATACCTGGAATAACCTATCACTATTTTA